GCACAACAAAGCCTTGCATATCTTCCATTGCTTTTTTTCTTTATTCTTTTTTTTTTAATATTGCATTAGTGGAAGACTTCTGAGATGACAGGCATTCTTGCAAATAAGAGGCAGTAAAAGTAGTGTTAGAACCCTCCAGGAAAGGTGGTAAATTCCCAGAGGATAACCCAGTGATATTTTTCTGTTATAGATCACTAAGGAAAATTTTGAGTGTTTTCGCTACAGAACATAATCCAGCTGTCAGTCTTCATGACAAGGAGAATCTTTCATGGTTTTATGTGTTTGCTTCTACAGTCCATTGAAGCACAGGAACGATTTCAGTTTCCTGATAATCAGTATCCACCACAAGTTTAATTGTAATATTAAGAACACTGGAAAATGTTTGCAATTTTTCTTTTCTGCTGAGGGCTGAAGACTTGCCTGGACCTTTCACCATTATTTCAGAAGAAACAGAGCCTTTTTTTTTAAGTGGAGGATGGGAACGCGTTTGCTTGTTTAGTTTTAATAGATAATGATTGCAGGAGACATAATTCTCCTTTAGGTGTTCCTTACCCCAATATAGCCCATTTATGGCATTCCCATACTCAGGACTGGTACAGGAAAGAAACAAAATGCTGGAAGAAGCCCTCAAGCCCATTTTTCTAGCACAGTGTCCACTAGAATTTATGACAGAATTTGTTGGCCTGTCTGAAGAAATCAGTCCTGTTGGAAAATATTTCTCTAGGAACTTTATGCTTGCAAAGCAATATTTACGTACTTGTTTAGCCTGAAGTTAATTTGTCTCCTTACAATAGAGACAACACAGAAGGTACAAGGAAAAATATCTGAGGAAAATACTATAACAAGATGAATTTTCTTTAGCTTGCATGCTTTCAGGATCACATTCCTTATGATGTGTAGCTGCTTTAGTGGCAATGTGTTGTCAGTATTATTGATCCTATGAGCTATACACCAAAATCTTCATATATCCAAAAGTCATGTTTGGGGCCTTGAACAGAAGGGATGTTTTGGCAATGATTCGCAGGCCAGAAATTACAATTTCAGGGATTTTACTGCTCTGCTACAGGATGGGGCTGGGCTGCACATGCAGCAGAGCCCTAAGATAAGAACATCTGCTTTAGTTGGCCCTGCTGATTTGCTGTCTTCCATAGCTGGAGACTTGAAGATTAGTGAAAATCAGACAGTAAAAGACAGCCTTGGGGAAAGAGATGAGTGTAAAGGCAGTGCCTAAAAACCTTGCGTCATTGTAAAAGGATACTCATCATGTATGAGCAGTGGCCTTCAAACTACTGGTTTGGGGAGTTGACTTCTAGTTGGGTTTCTGACATTGCTCTAAAAGCAGGGTCGGAAAAAGTGCTGCGTATTGCATGTCAGCGACAACTCTTCAAAATGTGTTGATGTTTTATGAACTTATTAACCTCTTGTCCTATGCATAAATCTCAAATCATGCTTTCAGAAGGACTAAATTACTGTGTAGGACAAAATATTCCACTGTGACATGATGTGTTCAGGGGAGTTCAGTGTATCCCATAGCTGCTAAATTGCTCTGAAAGCTCCTGTTTCTGCAGAGCTAGACCAAAACCTCATCCTAGTTTTGTTGACAGAAGGCCATTCATTTGGAGAGGAGGAGTGACTATTGGAAATAATCTTCTGTGTTACATAATTTGGCAGTTCACTTACGATTCCATTTCTGAAAAATAAAATCTGCATGATTCGTCATGCTACTATGACAGTAAAATACTTACATTAAGATAGCTGGCTAATAAAAATTACAGACCATATGAAGTGTTCAAAATAATTCCCAAATGTGACTTGGCAGTTAGTTTAATGTCCTTTCATTTTAGCGAGATTTAGATTTCAAGTGTTATAAGTCCCGACCAGAAATTCTGTTTAGCATATTTGAAAGTTTTGCACCAAAAGATTGAAGATGAATGACTGCTACGTATTTTCTGCGGTTTTCAGAAAACAAATTATTCGTAGCCTTTTATTCTGCTTTTTCCACCGATCTTAATTTTGTCACTTCATCACCCAAATGCAGTTTGTCTACACAATATTCCAATGAATGTCAGTGTATTGAAACAAAGCTCTCTTACTGCTACACAGAGAACGCAGTGTATCATCGAGATTGGTGTGAACATTGTAAGCACTGCATTTATTGAACTTTTCAAAATTCCTGGCTGTATTTATAAAAAACTGAGTAAAACATAAATAGAGAGGAAAAGAAATACAGAGAGGTAAAGCAGTGTCCTCCACTAAAACTGTGAAGTTGCTACAGCTACCAAATCACAATTTCAGTATACATACAAGTAGATAATCTGTATGGATTTCAGTGCATCTTATATAGTACAGGTATAACAATTTAGCGTGTTTTTTTTCAGATCACCCAGGTTTGGAAAATGTGGTACAGATTGAGAAATTTCAAGAAAAGGCTTACATGGAGTTCCAAGACTATGTCACAAAAGCATATCCAGATGATACGTACAGGTCTGTAAACTTAAATGCTTATTTGATTGATTCTCTTTTCAGAGCATCAAGAACGCTGATTTGTACAGTATTTCTTGTAATAAATATGTACATTTTCTTCTTATCTCCTTAAAGGTAAGAAATTACCTCTAGAGCACTTAAAATATTATGAATGAACTCATACATGAGCATTATTTCTACTCATTCATTACTCATTTCCAATATGAAATATTGGAAAGAAAATTAATATTTTTAATGTTTTAATTTTGAATTGCACCTACTTGAAATATTTCCCTATTTACTCTACCTCCAAGTGTTATACAGTCCATGTAGTTGACAGGTGTATTCACGTTTCTTGCACTGTTGAAGACACAACTGAACAATAATTTAATACTCTACTAATTTAAGTATTTAAACGTTTCATGAGCTAGATATAACGAATTTTGACCGGTATGGCCTCTTGTTACTTTTTTGACTTCTCTGACTGATGCTGTGATTGTGAATAACACCAAAATCTGTGTCCACAAGTAACACTTTTCCCCAAACTTAATTTCCAGACTGTCTAGACTTCTCCTCCGATTGCCCGCCCTTAGGCTGATGAGTGCTGCCATCACGGAAGAGCTGTTCTTTGCAGGACTGATTGGGAACGTTCAGATCGACAGCATCATCCCGTACATTCTGCGAATGGAGACAGCAGACTACAACTCTCAGATAATTGGTCACGCCGTATAAAAGGAGCAGCCGAGGATTCCGTACCATGGCAGTCATGGTGATGTAAATGCATACCCTGTCTCCAAGAGATGGCAATAAGCCTTCCCACGCACCTTTTCCAAAGAAGGCTCATATTCCTCCTTTCCAGTACACTTGGGAAACGTGGTGGAGTGTATTAAGAAACGTAGGATCGCTTCCTATTTTTCATCTGATCTTCAAGGACTTGTCAATTAATTTGATATCTGAAGAAGGTCAAGAATTGCCCATCCTATTTTTGTAGATAGATGAACTTGGACTATTTGTTTATGAAGTCCAGGCTTGTGAAGAAACTGAAGAAGCTTTGACTGAACTAAGGTATCTCAACTTAGTTTGATGTTTTAGACAAAATAAATTAACTTTCCTCTCTGAGTCGTGTTTTCAGTGTTTTGCTACTAGTTCTTTCTCACTGATCAAAAGGAAAATACATGGTCAAACTTCCTCAAAAGGCCAGTGTTTCCATGGAAACAAGACCTTATAACCAAACTTAGTTTTTCCTGTTGTTTTGAAGAGAGATTTGGTTCGTGTTGAGTAAACACTGGACACCATTACAGGTGCAGGGAGAGTAGAGGAAGTTCCCAATTTAAAATATTTTGATGGCATGTTCATGCAGTTAATCAAAAGTGAACCAGAAAAGGGCCAGCACTGACTGTGTTGTGGAGGCAAAGGAATACCGTGTTGCGGTATTACATCTTGGTAGACTTCAGCTGCTTTACACTGTGAAAAACTAACAGAGAAGTCTATGCTGCAAGTAGTCAGAGACAGCATCCTCCTGGTTTTTCTAGTGTCAGTTTAAGCTTTTTCATACAACCCTTCCCTTTTTCATACTCGGTGCACAACAGCAGAGGCTTTCTAGATACCTCTTAACTTGTGTTTGTGTCTTTATTTTTTTATTAGTGCTAGCTTTTGGCTATATACTTCTCTTTTCCAACCAGTCTCATATGATTATTTTTTAAATTTGAGTTTGTCAAATCCAGTGCCCCTCCCTATGGGAACGTGGTCTCAGCTGCTTTTCCTTTCCATATTACAAATAGATCTAGATACTCCATATATTTTGCCTGAATCATACTTCATAGCTCCGTCTAAGGATGGGTTTAAATATTTTTCTGTCTTGAGGCAGGTGTCTCACTGACAAGTAACACTGACATATGGTTGCTTCTTCCTTCCTTCTGCAACAGGAAGTTAGCACATCCCTGGCACATTTAATACCTGTTGCTTAAATCAAAGAAGTATTCTAGTAAACGTGGAGGTCTGCCTCTGACCTTAGCATTTAGGATTATCTAAATCTTGGACCAAGACCAAGTTCTGTTTACCATGAACCTCCTCTTTCTCTGGCAACACTGGGTGAGGAAGAGCTTCACCCAATCAAGAAACACATGGCTGCACCAGAAATTGCGTAGCCAAGAGATCAGCTCAAATGGGGGCCTTTGCCCGCTCTGCACTAGCAGCTCCAAGGCCATCCTAACACCAAGAGAGAACAAGACCAGGCTTGGGTGAGTTCTGTAGCTGAGGATCTCAACCAGCCAAAAAGAATCAGAGAACTGCCTCTGATGCTGAATTATCATGTTATTTTCAATTCTGCTAACTGAGCTGCTTGGATCTTCTTCCACCCAGGCTCTGTAATCTGAGGCTGTCCTACAGTATTGGTCATATCCAGTACCACAGACCAGAGCACTCGCTGCTGAGGACCCCTGATGGGACAGAACCATAACCCCTGCTCTGCCTTGGCACGTACTGACTTGCTGGAGAACAACCCTTAGTGTGGGAGCTGGCTGTGGCAACTGAGCTCTTCCCATGTTCCACCTTTCAGAGGGCACAGGATTCAAGCTTTTCATCTGTCTTCCCTGGGGACCTGTATAAGGACAACTTCTCTGCATCTCAGGAGATATGCATCTCATCAGCAGCGTTTATGGAAATATGAGAGAATTGCTGCCAATATGCTCTGCTTGTTCTCTCCCCAGGAGTTAGAGGCCCAGCTTGCTATCTGTAGGGCCAAGTTGCAGATGGGAGACATATAATTCTTCAATTGAGCTCTCCTAAGAAATTTTGACTCTGCTTTCTAGCCCTGTACTATCCTTAACCCACTTCTGGCCCCAACAGGCAGGGGAGATTTACAGTCCTCTGTGTTAAACCTTTTAAGGAAGCTGACAGCACGTTACACCTGAATATTTTGAAGGAGGTTTCCCAGGCATTCCAGTACTCTTGAAAGAGTTTTATTCCAATATTGTCTGGATTTGTGTAGCCCAGATAATAGTAAGTGGGAAATAAAATCTTTTTTTCCTTCTAAATCTGGTACATGGTGCAAATCTCTCACATTCCTGCAGAGACCTTTTGCTACATAGCTTGAGCCTCAAGTGTGATATGCAGATCTTTGTTTATAGCTGGCCGGAAGATGCAGCTGGTGCAGCCTCATGCATGGTACTGAACAGCTTCCAAAACAGCTCAGAAAATGCCAGTTCTACAGATGGAAATCTCTCAGTTCATCCATCTTTATCATAGAACAGCCCAGATTTGAAAAGGGACCTTGAAAGATCACACAGTCCAACCTTTTGTAGGAAGAGGAGCGTAGATGACATGATCTGGGATCCTGTCCACTCACAACTTGAAAACCTCCAGTGACTGGGAACTCCACCACATCCCTGGGGAGGTTGTTGCAGTGACCAATTATTCTCTGCATAAAAAATTGCTTTCTTACATCCAGGTCTCCACAACTTCTCAAAGAATATAGACGGTGGCCCTGCAGGAATGTCGGCCACTTCTCTTAATACCCTGGGGCACATTTCCTCTGGGCCCATGGATTTATGTGAGTTGAGCCCTTGTGAGAGGCTGCAGATCAGCCCTTTCTCCACTGCTGGTGGGCCGACACGTGTGTTGTTGTAGCTGCTTGATCCCGTGCTCTGTGGTCCAGCTCTGCGGGTAAAGACCGAGGCAAAGAAGATACTGGGAACTTCTGCCTTGTCAGCATTATGAGTGAGTAGTTTCTCTGCCCGGTTAGGTAATGGGTCTGTGTCTTCCCTGTGCTTCTCATGTATCTGAAGAACCTTTTCTTGTTGTTCTTGACATCTTTGGCCAATTTCAGTTCTAGCTGAGCCTTAGTGTTCCTGACTGCATCTGTGCGTGCCCTAGCAAGGTTCTTTTAAGTCCTTGATGGGTATTTAGCTGCCTTTCTGTAGCTGGAATGCTGCTTCTTTGCCATTTTTTTTTTCTTCCTTTCTTTCTGGTCAGAGCACTGCTTTGGAGGGCTGGCCTCAGAACTTTATTTTCTCTGGACTTCTGTTTTTGCTGCTTCTTTCTGCTCTAGACTGTTTGAATACAAGTTAGCCTTCTCCAGTAACATGTGGACTGCCATTACCATTGACTGGTGGATCAAGCCTACTTTCTTAGGGTGTGTTAATTCAAAAGCACAAGTTTGAAACATGTCCTAGAGATGACTAGATGTTGCATTGGGGGACATAGCTTAGTATGTTGATAGGGCTGGGACAAAGGCTGGACTCGATGATCTTCAAGGTCTCTTCCAGCTGAAACTGTTCTATGATTCCTTGCTGTTCTTTTTGATGCCGATCACCTCTGCTGGGCAGCAGACGGGCCAAATCCCGATGGCTGACTTTCCCCCCTCCTTTTGCTCGTCTTTCTCTTGGACCTCATCTGGAATTTCTGCCAGATCACCAAATCAGGAAATTCACGCATCCTGTTCTTCTTTTTAAATCCAATATTTTCACGTCTGAGATTTCCTTTCACATGTCGGGTAGCAAGAGAATATTGTCTTCTTATTTGCATGGGTCAGAGGCTTTCAGATTACCTTTAACCTAGTTCTCTTGACCAGCTAAGAAATCAAAACAGGATAAGCATCTCCAAACTAGGTAACAGACTGTATTACCTTTCTTGAACAGTATGGCTGAGTCACTGTCGGTACTGGGAACATACTCGTAATAGTTTGCAGAACACATTTGAGGCTTTGCTCAAGAGTATCTCTGTTTCCTGTCTTTGCAAACCTGGACAACTAGTTCAAGAAATCTTCAACGAAAGAACCAGCCATCTTTTTCTGAGAATACTGGGACCCTGAAGTATCTGTGGTGTGGCCATCTATATGGATATGCATGTAAAGAGAAATTGCTTATCTCAACGAGACTCTAGCTACATGTACGTTGTCCATATATATATATATATATGATAACCATATAACCCACTCCCTTGCTATGTGTGGCTGACAGAATATTCTATCTCTGTGCTTGCTGTCAAGGCAAGGAAAAGATAGGAGTACACACCCACAGTATTGCGAGAGCCAGCCCCCCCCCTTTTTATGATCTTGGATACCTCTGATGTTTGGACCTCTGCAGAGCACCTGTGCATTCACACAATGCATTGCTAAGAGCTCTGGCTACTGGTAAGTAACATTGTTTTCCCCAAAGTTTTCTTATGTCTTTTCCCAATAATAAATTTTCATCGTAAGCTCAGTATTGATTTAAAGATAGGAGGCAGCTGCTGCCTGGCAAGTAATCTGTCTTAACGATGATCTGGAAGCTGGGTCCTACAGGTTGTTGCTTCAGTGTTATTCACTTTGCCCATCAAGATTATTCATTAATCATTTAAAAATAATTGCATTAATTGTTCCTAAACTCTAAATTCATGCCTTTGATAAGGAATGAGGTTTTCTCAGGAATGAGAGCTTTAAATCAGGTAAATTAATGCAGGGATGAACATGGTTTTTTCCTTATTTTTGGATGTTAACCAGTGTAGTCATCGGAGACTAATTCAACAGCTCATGGAAAGGCTAAAGAGTGAAGTTCTGGTTCTGTTGTTTTGTTTAAGATAACTTCTCTCAGTTAAATGGACTCATACTAAGTTGCCTTCAGCTCAGGCCAATAGTGTTTCTAACAGCTATTTTTTATGACATGATATCACATTACCACCTGAGTGATTTATTGTCATTTAGAGTCCTGTGAATAAATGTTTTTTGCTGCTGAAAGAAAGGCTGAATGCTGTTCAGTAACATTGTTAATCAGGTAACAAAAATGTGAATATTGAAGCTTACTCCACTGTGGCTGTTAAAATATCTCATTGTTTTTGTGACCATTTCTTTTCACCTTTAATTTATTTTTCAACTTTCTGATCTTCAGCAGTCTGGCAGTTTTCCTTTTGGCATTTACTAGCCAAAAATTAAGTCTCTTTGCCAATGAAAGGACAAGTTTAGTTTCAACAGCTTTAAAACTGTCACTGTTAAGAGCAAGAAAAATCATTTTAATATAAATTACATGAAAGAAAAAACAATTTATACATTTTAGAATCCTGTCATTTAAATGTGGAGGCTATATAATAAGCCTACTAATTCAAACATTTTTCATCGTAGTATTTGTTGTACATATATATAT